GGTGGAAGCAAACTTTTAGCAATGAATATATGTGTTAACAGTAAAATAATCAGAATTAACGTATGTGTATGCACGTGTGTTCACTTGTGTGTCCACTAGTGGGCATACAGGTACGTGTTTTGGGGAAACAGTGATTACTCTGAGAGGCGAAGAAATTGGAAATTCCACAGAACTTGTACTGTAAAATTAAATTGTGTGCTAGTCAGCCCAACCAGCTAGCTCTCAATATACTGTGGCTATAGGGAATTTATATTGACTGTGGTAATGCACTTCTCCCCAGCATGTACAGGTGTCAATGGCTTATGTGAGCCACCAGCTCAGGTGATCATCTCCCAATTTCTCCTGTCAAAGCTGTCCTACTTCATATATAAGACATGAATAGTCACTGATCCAGAGAAAGAGAGAGAATGACTCTGTAGTTTGGTACTTAGGGCACCCACTTGGGAGCAGGAGGGACACCTGGGTTCCAGGCCCTGCTCCAATAAATATTTAATTATTTATGCAAAGTGGAACAGCTTCAACAGGAGAGACCGAGACATGCCCACCCATCCCAGAATACTCTATAGCCTGATGGTTAGGGCACTTGCCTAGGTTCATGCATTCATAGATTTTAATGCCAGAAGGGAACATTATGATAACCTGGTCTGACTTCCTGCATAACAGGCCGCAACTGTTTCACCCCATAACTCTTGTGTCAGGAACAATAACTTGTGAGTGAATTAGAGGATTTTGTTAGCAAGAGATCTGTTCCCAGCTCAGCTACAGAGTTCCTGTGTGATCTTAGGCAAGTCACTTAATCATGTGCCTCAGTTCCCCCTCTGAAAAATGGGGATATCTCTTCCCCACTTCATAGGGCTGTTGTGAAGATAAAGTTTACGGTGATTGTTAGGTGCTTTGATACTAAGGTGATGCGGGCATTATGAGCAACCACATAGATATAAAAAGATAATTGGCTAAATGGAATGCAGATCTCAATGGTGTGGAAACTACAGTGCAAGAAAACTAAGAAGCAGAGGTGAACACTCCCGAAATGTGGGACTGCTTGGAATATTGTGCCGCATCTACACATTTGTCTTCTGACTCTGAAGTCAGTAGAACCACAATCGTGGATTGGAACACCCCCACTATGCAGAGTTTAAAATCTGGATCTGAATTTTGCAGTCCAGGTGCATCTCTACTTTTAAAATAAAAGGAAGAAAAAATAGTACTAGATTTCAAGATGTAAATACTCTTCAGATTATACAATACTCTCACTTTTAATCCCATTTTTCTACATATTTTTCAGATCCATTAGTATTTTGCCTCAAAAAATAGAAAGTTTAGTGTTGTCGCTGAATATAAGAAAAGAGTTTGTTTTAAACGGTCTCACAAATATATAGTTATTAAACTATATATGGTAACTTGTTAAGTGTTATAGTTATGGATATGCTAAGGATCTCAATGTAGCATTCAGGCATTGTTCCAGCGCAGCTGAAAGAAATGCTTTGCATTTGTACGTTTTCAAAATGTAGAATAAACTTTCTTAGCAATTGCACCATCTAGTGCTGGTACACTGATAATGCCACAGTAGTTGGCACATACCATGCTCCTGGTACACTAGAAGCAAATTGATATATGCATTACCTCAGTCTAGAATTAGGCATAAACTGCATGGTTCAAATGTAGGTTTCAAACCCCAATCCAGAAAGTTCCATTCTTAGAGTCCTATATCTAGCAGCAATAGGCAAGTAGTATACTGGAGTTTTAGTAAAATGAAATGAGATAAAACCAAACTAACGTGTTTAAATAGCCTTGTGTAGTTTACCTTGGAAATACAAGGCTTATTTTATTGTATTCATTGGCTCACTGATATCAGTGTATTACAATCCTCTCCATGTGGACAACTCTGGGCACAGGTAGCTTTTTTTTTTTTTAATTCCTTCTGTCTGTCTTTCCAGCTACTTTGCCTTCAAGGAAAAGTACTTTGCTTCATATCAAGAACTGTACAAATCTTTCTAAAATACTGCAAGCTTTTTCCATGGTATTGGCAGTGTCAGGAAGCGAAAGCTGTGCAGTGCATTGTTTAACCTTCTCACCTGGTGACCTCCCCAGTGCCAGCTCTTGCTAATTCTTTTGTCGATTGTGTGTAATTTGTCTGTTTGTCTTAGATCTTATTTTATTTCTGGAAGGTTTGTCAGTTTGGGATGCCATATAGGCTCTTTCAGACTGTGTTTCAATTCCCGAGCTACACCTGTGGGGTGTCCTTGTTCAATAAAAGGTATTTAGGAGATGACAAGATGACAGCTTTTGGTCTTGAGGCTCAATCCAGTGAGGGGATACTTATGCAATCAGTTCAGGGTGCATGCTCCCTTTCACCAGACAACTGACAGCTCCAATAATAGGGCTGTCAGCAGAGCTTTGCTCTCTAATTAGCTTTCCCTGTTCCTCCTTGGCTTGGTGCAATAGGCAAACAGAAATCATCTCCTACCAATTTGCTTCTTGTGTACCTTGCATACAAGCTAGCTTGTAAAACTTTTTAAATTCCCTCGCTAAGGCTTACTTCTATTATGAGGCCAACCAGTGACAACTCCTTGAGTATACCCTGCATGCATTTTAAAAAAGAGAGGAAAAACTGCACTGCTCTGCGTCTGGAGCTTCAGGGCATGAAGCAGGGGCACCTGAATTGTACTTTCTGTATTGGGTTGGTAAACAGAGATGTGAGGAGTAGCTGCTGTTCATATCTGATCTGTATTGCACATAGGCAGAGGTTTAGGAATCTGAGTATGAGTCCAAATCAAAAATAGACTCATATGATAGTACACAAGTAACACAATATTTTGGACCAGTATGGCAGAAACTTGTCAATATCTGTGAGATCCACCATAGTGGACTGAAATCTCATGTGTAAAGATGTTCTCATGTGTTTCAGACACACCCAAGTGCAGAAACGAAAGAAAATAATCTTCCTGGTGGTGGAGCCAAACAAGAACTAAAACCAATAGTAGGGACAAGTTCAGGAGTTTGAATCTGACCCTACCTCAGAAGCCCAAAGGAGTGCTGATTCAGAGTTTTGGCTAGAGCTGGTCAAAAATTTTTGACTGAAAATTTTTCCTGTTGGAACATGTGGTTTTGTTGACATCAACATTTTTCACTTGGAAAATGTTGATTCTGACAGTTTTGATTTTCCAAACAGGTAAACTGAAATTAAAACATGTTTGGAATCAATGTTGTGAAATGAGTATTTTAGTCTCCAAAATTCAGTATGAAACAAAAAATCATTTTGAGATGTTGAATAATTTCATTTTGACATTTCCAGTTCAAACATTTTTGGAATTTTTCATTTTGTGAAAAATTTCAGTATTTCAACTTCTGGTTCTAATTCTGAATGGAAATCAGATTCCCAAGTCTTTCATAAGCCTAATAGTCTTTCATAAGCCTAATTCTCTGAGGAGAATTTCAGATTCTACTACAACCCTCTTTATCTGAAACATTGATGCCATTTAAAACATTTTGATAAATGAGGGTTCAAAAGAAGGTCTGGTGGGGTGAATACAGAGCTGATGTCAAAACTGATGTAAGTTAGACTTGCTGATAATCAGCTGGACTCCCTTTGATCTACTTACACCCAGTTACTGATGCATAAATGAGTCTAAGGGTATGTTTGCAGTCAGATGTTGTGTCTGACTTCAGCATGTGTAGACATATACCCAAGCTAGCTCTAGTAAAAATGGCAGTTAAGCTGTGGCAGCCTGGGACTCTGGCTATGTACTGGAGCAGCCAACCCCTGCAGCCACTGCTTCACTGAATTGGTACTCACGCTAGCTAGATCAAAGCTAGCTTGGGAATGTCCACACATACTGCAGTCACACCTCACCTCCGACTGCAGTGTAGACATATCCTTCATTGATACAACTTTATACACCAGAGAACCATAAAAAGGTATGAGAATGTGTAAGATCTATTAGGGAATGTCCTACTGTAGAATGCCTTCCTGTTGATTTTCTTGTTACTTTTCTGTCTCTTGGTGTGTGTTGTACACCAGCTTAGACCTGCTTAAACTCCAGTAGTCACAATGGACTAACTTCTGAGGTGATGCATAAGGGGGTTGTAACTAAGTAAGTGTTCATTTAAGTCTAATGACTCTAAGTTTGTATAAGAGGATTTTAGAGTGTGTGTGTTACACTAACTCTTAGACTCACTTCTGAATTGAGACCTGGGAAGCTATTCTTGACAATGTGCTGAGTCACTTTGTGATCTTGAGTCACTGTCTCTCTCTGCCTCAGTTTATCTGTCAGAAAATGGAGATAATACCAGTTCACAGGGGTGAGAAGGGCTTAAATCATTAGTGTATGCAAAACATGTCAAGATCCTCTGTTGAAAGGTGCTATTAAAATGCACAGTACTAATTATTCAGGGGGACTACCAGGAAAGCACTGCACACCTAGGGATTTAACTACAATTGAGATAAGAGGGAGCTTTCATTAAACGTGTGGAATAAATTGGTTTGTGCAGAACATGTTGATATAAAATTGATACCATGCAGGCCCAGATATTGTGGAACTCAGCTATGTTAGAGGCATGTGTCAAGAATCTGAGCCAAATTGTTGATTGTTATGAGAATATAATTCTTTGTATTGAAATATTTTGCCTAATTTCTGGTCAAGTACAAATTAAATCTGTCAATTGGGTAGGTGGTATTTTGCATTCCTCATGTGGGATGTTTGTAACCTATATGAAAAGCAAGATCTTCCCAGCACCCAGATTGTGAATATTATAATGTTTGTGGGATAAATAATTGTTTAATAATAATAAATCATCAGAATTATGAGAGCCTTTGTTGCAGGTATTTTTACAAATCCTCTGCAGTACAAAGAAGCTAAAACCAGATACTGGAGCTATATGTAAGGCTAACAAACTGATGATTCAGTATTGAAAAAGTTAAACAGTAGACTAGAGACCATCAGCTGTGTATAGCATTTCCCAGATCCCCAGCAGTAATCGTTTGCATTCCATCCCCACAGCAGTACGGATGTGCACACAGTGGCATCGCTTCTCAAACTGTATCTAAGAGAACTCCCAGAACCGGTTATCTCCTATGCAAAATATGAGGATTTTCTTTCCTGCGCCAAATTGCTCAGCAAGGAAGAGGAAACGGTGAGTGTTGTGCTTTGATTGTGATTTGTATAGATAGTGGTGTTTTGTAATCTACTTAGGTTTTGGCACAGGGGCAAGTTCTCTAGTTTTTGCATCAGCTTTCACTCTTTGCTAGCTGCACATCTTTGAAACGTAGCAGGATGTCTTTCTAATGATGTAGTAGTGTAGGACTGGAAGGGACCCTGAGAGGTCATCTAGTCCAGTCCCCTGCACTAAAGGAAGGACTACATAATAACTAGACAATTCCTGACAGTTGTTTATCTAACCTGTTCTTAAAACCCTCCAATGACAGAGATTCCACAACCTCCCCAGGCAATTTGTTCCAGTGTTTAACTACCCTGACAATTAGGAATTTTTTTCTGATGTCCAACCTAAACCGCCCTAGCTACAATTTAAGCCCATTGTTTCTTGGCCTATCCCCGGAGGTTAACAGGAACTGGTTTTCACCATTCTCCTTGTAACAACTTTTTATGTACTTGAAAACTGTCTTCTCTCTCCCCACCCCACCCACCCACCCACACACACATCTTCTCTTCTCCAGAGTAAACAAACCCTTTTTTTTTTCAATCTTTCCTTATTGGTCATGTTTTCTAGACCTCTAATCATTTTTGTTGCTCTCCTCTGGACTTTCTCCAATTTTTCCACATCTTTCCTGAAATGCGGTGCCCAGACCTAGACACCATACTCCAGTTGAGGCCTAATCAGCACAGAGTAGAGTGGAAGAATTACTTCTCTTGTCTTGCTTACAACACTCCTGCTAGTACATCCCAGAATGATGTTTGCTTTTTTTGCAACAGTATGAGCATTGTTGACTCATATTTAGTTTGTAATCCACTATAATTCCCCAAATCCCTTTCTGCAGTACTTGTTCCTGGGCAGTAATTTCCCATTTTGTATGTGTGCAATTGATTGTTCCTTCCTAAGTGGAGTTCTTTGCATTTGTCCTTATTGAATTTTCAACCTGTTTACTTCAGACCACTTCTCCAGTTTGTCCAGATCATTTTGAATTTTAATTCTATCCTTCAAAGCACTTTCAACCCCTTTCAGCTTGGTATTGTCCGCAAACTTTATAAGTGTACTCTCTGTGCTGTTATCTAAATCATTGATGAAGATCTTGAACGGAACCGAACCCAGGACCAATCCCTGTGGGACTCCACTCGATAAGCCTTTCCAGTTAGACTATGAACCACTGATAACCTACAAAGAAAACCGTTCACAGAGAGTAGTTATCTTTAAATGAAGTCTTGGTTCACATAGCAATTTAAATAGGCATATGGGAATAACAGAAACACTTCTCTACCTATATAAACTGCATACCATTGAATTATGGTTGGAAGTGATGTGCATTGGGTTAGAAGAGTTCCATCTTGTATGAAAGAGACTTCTTCCAGGTCATCTAGGCTATCATCCTCCATTATAGCAGGACTGCTCTTATTAGTCCTACCCAATTCCTGTTTAAGTCAACAGCAAACTATTGACTTAAGTGGGAATTAACTGGGGATAAAATTGTCATAAGTCAGAGTCAATGGGATTTAGGCTCTTAAAATTTTGCCCTGGGCCCATTGTCATTAAAGCATCACTCAGAGATATTTGGCAAGTTGGTCTTGATTAACTCTGACATCAGTTACTGTAGCATTTATCTTGGAAACATGCCCCATTGTCTAATACTTCTTAAAGATATAGAGACAGATTTCCAATTCTGTTCTACATGCGTGAAACTTGTGTAACAGAATTAAGGATATGACCTATTATGTTTTCCCTACAGTAATTTAAGGCCAATACATCTTGCTCCGTTGAAACCTCCTTTTTACACCCCTCTATGTACTTGTTGGCAGCTAGTATATGATGCTATCTCTTAGTCTTTTTCTTCAGAGTGATCACTAATAATTTTGTTCTATTAATTTCAGCCCATCCTTCTAATTTTCCCAAACCATACTACATTTTTAATCCCTCCTACAAAGTGGTTGACATCCTCCCTGTTCTGAGTCACCAGCCAGAATTGATTCTTTCCATCTCCTATCCACTAAATTAATAAGGATCAGATGGGGGGTTGGGAGTTAGATGTGTGGGGGAGCGTTTTGTATTCGGTCTAGAAGGGTTTGGGGGGAGCTGTGTGTTCCAGTGGCTGTTCAGTATTATTTTTTGTGTAATTTATGGCAGGGGCTCCTAGAGGTTGGGATAAGCACCGCTGTTAACTTTTGTATAGTGTCCATTTTATAGTAGCTATGTTTGTATAGTTTCTCTGAGAACATCACATGAAACATTTTATTAAATGTATTTGAAAACAAGACTTCAGTGACTGTGTGAACCTAGAGCCAGTTCTTGCCAGGTGATACCTATATGGACTTACTTACCAGTCACTTACCCCAGGTCAGTTGCGCTTTAGGTCTCACACCAAAGACTATACTTATAACCAATCCTATAGTAAACTATATGATGATTTATTAAATAGGAAAAGGAAAATACAGAGTTATTTGCAAGATTAAAGCAAGCAATGTGAGTGACCAATGCTAGAAACAATAAGCCATTTTTTATCCTGTTGTAATGCTGACTTAGCAATCTGATTGTTAGATCGTTTGACTAGTTTTTCAGTCTTCTATGTTGGACTCTCCTACAGTGCAAGTTACAAACGATGTCACTCTTCATCTAGATAGCTGTTTGTCTTATTTCCTTTTCTAGCATTTGCCCGGCAAACATTTGCAGTATCATGATCTTCCCATCCTGAGTTGCACTTGTTTTGCTGACCCACTGAAATCAAACATCCTGCAGTGGCTGGCAAAGCACCAAAGGCTGAATTAAAACAGCATCCAAATGCACTGGCGGCAGGAGCTTAGCCAGAGGCTATTTCCAGTGGGCACAGAAACCAAGTTCACGTTGTTCAGCTCTTTTAAATCCTAGTGAGATGACAGACTGAAAGAATCTTCTGCTTGTCTAATGCTAGCGCAGACTTTGTGAGACAGCCAAAATGTTGCTTTGGCCAAATGAAATGGATACTACAGACTAGTGATCATAGTTTATCTGGATATTATTAAGAAAATAGTTGTCTTACTCCATTTCCATAAGTATCTTCTATTTATTTCATACCAAAATCTCAACAGTGTTATTATTGATTTGTTTGTTTACCCAGGGGGTGAAGGAATTAGTGAAACAAGTAAAGAGCCTGCCACCTGTCAATTACAATCTACTGAAATATATCTGTAGGTAAGTGCTCCTGAAAGATTATCAAAGAGATATTTATTTCAATGCCCTAGTAGACATTGCTGTCTGTCTGGATGAATATATCTCAGGAGAAGTTTAACAAAGAGAGTCAGAGTACTGGTACGTTTAACCTAACACAATCACAAGTTTGTTTATTGTATTACTAATTACTAACTTACTAATTATAGTTGTACAGCTGTGAGTGGGATTAATGAATAGCCCAGACCCAGCATGAAAGGCAAGGAAATGTAGCTGGATAAAGGAATATCACCTTCTATCTACTTCTGTAAGGAGAAGCAAGGCTATATTTGCAGATCACTTACCTGGAGACCAGCTCCTGTTGGCCTTGATGATTCACACAATTTATGGGAGTCCTGGGTTAAAAAGGTCAAAACACCAGAAGCGTAAGGGCTTCTGGGAGAGGTGGTGTGTGTGCATGGGGATGTGAGATAAAACACAGCCTTATAACAGGTAATGTTTTGATGTAATTTGCTGCATGCTAATATCTGTGAAGCTCCCAATGGTGATGCAAGATCGTGAGTACTAATCTCAGGACAGACTGTTAAACACAAGGGCACAAACCCCAAATTGATTGTAAATTCCTAACTTAGATTTCACTAACCAAGTGCAAACTCCTCAGGCACTTCAACAGCCTTAACACGGAGTCACAGACTGTCCTTTCGGGTATTCAGGTTTCTCTTGCCACCCAGGTGAACATCTCTCTTGGATGGATGGCCCATAACACCAAGAATCACAGCAATAGTAAGGTTACTCCTAATTCCAAAAGACTAGTCACTTACCCCAGGTCAGTTGCGCTTTAGGTCTCACACCAAAGAGTATACTTATAACCAATCCTATAGTAAACTATATGACAATTTATTAAATAGAAAAGGAAAATACAGAGTTATTTGCAAGGTTAAAGCAAGTAAATATAGACATATGAATAAGTTACTGTCTTAGTTCAAAAGGTAATATAGGCTTCTATAATCAACAAGCTCTAATTTGTCTTTTAGGGCTAACCGAGGCTAAACCGCTGGGGATCTCTTGCTTATGCATAGAAACAACTTGGTTCCCCTCCCCCAGAGTCCAAGCAGCATAGAGATCTTTAGTTTCTTTGCTTTGGGGTCTTTATCCTCCTTCTGCCGCGTGCTCTGAGCTGCAAACTCAGCTGATGGGAAGAGTCCCCTTGCATGACACACATCTTCACAGGGAGGAGAGCAGAGCAAGAAGAGTCTTTAGTCCTTTTGTTGATGGTTTCTCAATCCAGATGTGGGAGTTTCCAGTTGTAAGATCCAACCTTAACCCATCTGGTAATGATGTGTCTCCTCTTTTGAGAGATGCATAACAATTTCTGTAGAAGAGCAGCTCTTCATACTAATTAATGTCCCTCTCCTGTATGGCGACTTATACAGTCACAGAGGCTCATAATACACCCACTCAAATATTACGTTACAATACGGAACACCGATATTACAAGTAAGATTAATGCATGCAATAACTCACAAGCATTCAATTGAGTCTTAACATTTCTAATACCTATTTTATCAATATTAACCCACACGTGAGACAGAAAAATTCCGGCTATGTATCGTTTAGTGTCCAGTTCAGATGGGGGACCTTTGCATGAGCTGGCACCTGAGCTGCCAGCATCACAGTATCTATGGATTTTGATAAGACGCTGACCGTTATATCAAGAATGTATTTATCAGTTAAGATTTAAAGCTCTTCATATAACATTATCAGAAAATATCGGGATTGCAGGGGGAGGATAAGAGAGAAATAATTTCCCATTTTCAATTCAGCCAGTATGCTGTGGAGAATGGGAGGCCTAACTACTAGAGCAGATTTTCTGAATTTTCCCCCCACAATCGTTCTAGAAATGACAACCCCCAAAATAGCCTGGGTTTGGGGCTGAAAAGTAACAGGACAGTGCTGCCCTGGTTAAAGGGCCTCTCTGCCTTGTTACAGTAAGATATGCAAAAGCTTCCTTCCCTGGAAAACTTACAAGATACACTGGATAGGAGCTCAACTGGGCTAGCTCTAAGGAGCATTATGCTCTAGAAAACTTGGGTACGTTAGAAAATAAACCCAGGGACCTCTTTCAATCAACTGGCAGAGGGTACAGGAATACATAAGGGCTGGGGGGATCCCCTGGATCTGGTATCTGTGTACTAGTCTGCCAAAGAATGACATGTATGGACTCTAATGAAAGCCTGTGTCACATTGCATAATCATTGTGAGATGTGTATATGTGCATAACATGTCAGAAGAGGTGTGTGTGGATAGATAGGAAAACGTTCTTGTAGTTAAAGGCAGGTCACACATTGGTAGCATGCCTTGAGACAGTTCTCTAGACAGGAGGTGAGAGACACTGCTCTCCCAAGCTAATCTTTGTATAGTGTATGTCTTACAACAGCAAGCTGTTAGCATATTAAGTCATATGTTAATGAAGAGCTTGCAGGGACTTCAAAAGAAAAATTAACAGGAAGAGGTAAACAGCTGGAGATGAAGGGAGAGACACACTCCTTTCAGTCAAGATCAAAGATCTGGTCTGGTATATCTTAGGTGAAAAAAGACCCCCTGGCATCCTTCACCGAGGAAGTAAACTGATAGAGGGTTTGCTTCACGAAAATTGATTGGCCTCTTACAGTTGGTATGGCTACTTCCACCTTTTCTTGTTCTCTGTATGTATAAATATCTTCTTTCTGTGTGTTCCATTCTATGCATCTGATGAAGTGGGCTGTAGCCCACGAAAGCTTATGCTCAAATAGATTTGTTAGTCTCTAAGGTGCCACAAGTACTCCTGTTCTTTTTTCATGAAAAAAGGATCCCAGCCAGACTTGGCTGAAAATGCTGGGAAGATCTTTGGGTGAGATAAAACTTTATTTAGACAGGAGGAAATCTTGTTTGTTAAGTTAAGGCCATAGAAAGCATGTTATGATTTTCTTTTATATATAATGCGTTTTTCCAGCATTTTGCTTACTATTATAGGAATCTCTGTTCTTTGTTAAATAAACTTATACTTGCTTTCTCTGTAAACATACCTGAGTGCTGTGTGTTAAGTGGAGCTGTGTTTTAAGGCGAACTAGTAAGCTGGCATGTACTGTTCCTTTGGAAACATTGGGCCTGGTGATTCAGTGAGTATCCGGTGGAGCAGGGGCTAGATGCTGGTGGATGCTTGGAGGACTCAGGGGTTAGTGTATGCCTATCGCTAACCTGTAAAGAGAGAGTGGTGTCTGGAGGGGAGTGCTTGTGTTGCCAGTATCCAGGGGTGTCAAGGAGCTGATCCCAGGCAGGCAGAAACAAGGCTCTCTCATAGACGTTAAGCTTAGAAGAGACCATTGTGATCATCTAGTCTGACCTCCTCCTCATTGCAGTCCACAGAACGTCATCCACTCCTGAAACTGTGGCTGAGTTACTGAAGTCCTCAAATCATGGTTTAAAGACTTCAAGTTACACAGAATTCACTGTTAAAACCTGCAAGTGACCCATGCCCCATGCTGCAGGGGAAGGCAAAAACCACCCAGGGTCTCAGTCAATCTGTCCTGTGGGGAAAATTCCTTCCCGACCCCAAATATGGTCATCAGCTAGACCCTGAGCATGTGGGCAAGACCCACCAGGCAGATACTTGGGAAAGAATTCTCTGTAGTAACTCAGAGCCTTCCCCTCTGACGTGCCTCAGAACCCAACTACTGCCCTGTTTTTCCAAGCCTACAATAGTGCTGCAGAGTGGTGATCTTTAATAAAAAAAAAAAAAAAAAAAACTAAGGAAATTTCATACAAAAAGTACAGTGAGAGATCATCATCCACCTTTGCCTTTTGTGATCTTGATGCTCACTTTCCCCCCTTCCCCCCTCTATTTCACAGATTCCTGGATGAAGTCCAGTCCTATGCGGGTGTAAACAAAATGAGTGTGCAAAACCTGGCTACTGTATTTGGTCCCAACATCCTGCGCCCAAAAGTGGAAGATCCTCTCACCATCATGGAGGGTGAGTTAAAGGAAAATTGTAAACAACTTTAAAATAGGAAGAAGGAACTTCTTTAGATTCATCAGCAGTATGTTTTGGGTGGTCTGATGTCACAAAATTACTTTTGCCTGTTTGTGTGTAGACACAACTTTTCTTCCGCTACAGTAACTGAAAGTAACTGCTTTGCCGAACAGGCTGCTGCAGAGGAAATTGAAATTTCCTTTGTAGTGCATTCACTGCCTCAGACACTCAGACAGATGGCATCCTTAAAGGGTAGCTCTATTCTGAAAACTGACTGTAAAAATGGCAACTTCTTACTCAACAGGTCTATCTGAGGCCACATAGAGCACAGCCAGGAATAAAACCCAGGTCTCATGCGTCTCAGTCCAGCACTCTATCTACTAGGCCACACTGTTCCACTTATTTGCACCTTGGGCAATCCTTTGTCAGCAAGAACATTTCAAAGGGCCTGCTGTAATACTACAATCCCACTTTTACTGTCACTTTTCAGAGTAGAATTTAAGCAGTAAATATTATATTATGGAAGTGCCCAAAGACCCAATCTTGATTACCTTTCTTGATGAATCAAAAATCCAATGCCAGAGCATTTGATTGACAAATTTTACCAGTAAAGAGATAAAATAACTCAAAATTTACATATTTTCAGCTAATTTTTCCATATGTTTAAGCATCTACCATTTTTGAAAATCTCCCTCTGATCACCCACAATCTGTTTTGCACTTTAGAGAAGAAGGAGCTAGCTTTGTGCAAACCAGCTTGTTTTCATGTTGCAAATATTCACATTTGAACCCCAGTGTTTTTGCAAGACTTAAGTCTGGGACAAACTTTCACAACATCTGTTGAGACATTAAGGCCTGTCCTGTGGATCCTTTGTACGTGTTACTCCCAGAGAAGACAATTCTAGCTATGTGTTTGCAAGGATGCCAGATACAGCTGATAGCATTTTACTATGAACGTGGCAAAAAAGTCAGCATGAGCAAAGTCTTGAATCTCCTCAAAGGACTTTTGCCTTTTTTTATGGTGGAACTGTTTATTTTTTCCAACTGGAAATGGCTCATTTGTTTCTCAGAAACCAGCAGGAAAATACAAAGGCCCATAGAAAATGCCTCTCCCAAAGGCAAGAATGGAATTTTTCTTTGGGATTTTGTTTTGTTTTATGTTTTTCTGCTGTCTCTGAGAATTTCCCCCCACAGACTTATAGTTTAGTATGATGTCACCTTCTGCAGCCCTTTATCCTCTAATACAATGACAAAATTGTTCACAGCAATCCTCATCTAATGCTACCAATCCACAAGGAAAAGAGAGGTCATGGTGTTAAGAACCCAGTGTTGGGGCTAAAGAGATATCTCAATACCCTTTTAAAAAAAATACCCTTCTTTAAAGACTCACCTTCATTTCAACTGCTGTCTATTTTTTTCAGTTTCTACTTTCACTTTGTATCTAATCTTTTGACTACTCAAAAATTACTATAAATGAATTATACGAGATATAATATATGCATGAATAAAGAAAGAGGTCTGTGAAAGGAAGTTGACTTTTCCCCACCATTTCTTATGGTAGAATCAAAGCTGTTACAAAGCAATGCAGATTTTCAGGCTTCCAAAGCAAACGAACAAAAAATGTTTACAAGTCCCCATGGCAAACTGAATTTTTAGTAGATGTATTTGAAGGGAAAAAAAGCTCAAATATTCAAATGCAACCTGTATAAAATTATATGGGCCAGTGGGAAATTATTGATTAAAAGAGCACAGCATGCCACTGAAACATGCCTAGGGACTTTCAAATGGTGTTTATAACCAACCTGACCTCATTACTGGAAGACTCTTAATACTCCCTAATAGGGTTCTGTAAAATATATATATAATGCAGAGATACATCATTATCTACCCAAGTCTAGTTCCAAATGATAGTTCTGTAAATTAAAGTGAAGTCATGTGGTGTGTGCACTATAGGTTTCTAGAGAAGGAACATTTATAATAATGTGTTGCGAAGTAGGGTACTGTGTGATTTAAAGCTGTGATTTATATGTTACCGGCAGCAGATTCCACATAGTGTGACAGCATGGCACATTTTACTGGCCAGTCACAATCTCATCTATGAGTGGTTAAAGGTTTTTATATTAAATATCTCACAAAGTTCTGATAGGCTAAAAAATAAATGGTCCAGAAACCCTTTCCTTCGTCAACCCCTTGTATTAGACTGGCTAGTGTCTTCCCAGCTTTGGAGTAAGTTTTTAAAGATGTTTGATATATTGAGCTTAAACTCACATATTACAATTACATCATTCATCTTCTTATTATTCTTAATCTCTCTGTATGGTCCCAGTGGTTTTCAATTGCGGATATTGTCTTGGGATATTTGTTTTAGTTCCCCATGATAATATCTCCTTTAAAACATTCTTGGCTACTGCATGCCCTAATATTGAAGTAAGAGATGTAGGGAGCTCTTTTCCTCCCCTGCACTGGCTACCTACATCTGCAGGCTCTTCGCAGCAGGAGAGCATCTGCTAACAGGAATGAGCAAATGCCCCCCAAGATGTTGGCCAATACACCAGAGCCAGCGCAGAGTGGGTAGGAAGGTGCACCAGCAGAGACACAGGCATATTTTTGTTTCTTCCTTGAAAAGAGGACAATACAGAACCAATTGTGCTGTGGTGATTTGGAGCCAGAAAGGGGAGATAGGATGAGGTGGCATGAAGATTGTAATAGCAAATATTAAATGCTTAGGTAATCTACATATATATTAGATAAATGCATAAATTAAGTGTATATTAACTAGATGCATCTTTATGAAATCTTTAAAAATCTGTTTTAAAAGAATGTTTGTTCACTTCTCAAATGAAACTACTTCATTAATGGTGGTTCATTTGCCATCCTCCAGGTACTGCAGTAGTCCAGCAGCTGATGTCAGTGATGATAAGTGAACATGAACAGCTATTTCCCAAGGACACAGACTTTCAGGCAGGGGAGGAGGTGTGCAATAACAACAATGAGATCCAGAAGAAAATGATCATTGGTCAGCTCCAGAATAAAGAGACCAATAACAACAAGGAGACAGCGGTGAGAAGCTGTTCTTGGGACACACCTGAGCCTCTCCAGAGGGCAAGCATGGACAATGGGTCTCCCACAGTGCTGCCAGGGAGCAAGTCAAACAGTCCAAGGAACAGCATTCACAAACCTGATGTCACAAGAAGCCCACCTCTCATGGTGAAAAAAAACCCAGCCTTTAATAAAGGCAGTGGCATAGTCACCAATGGGTCCTTCAGCAGCTCTGTGGAGGGCCATGAGAAAACCCAGACCTTACCAAATGGTACCCTGCAGGCCAGGAGAACATCATCCCTGAAAGGTCCAGTTACTAAAATGGGCACACACAGCATGCAGAATGGAGGCGTGCGAATGGGCATTTCAAGCACGGATGCACACAGCAACTCCCTGAACAGCCGAAACCTGAGCTGGATGCCCAATGGGTATGTCACGTTGAGGGACAGTAAACAAAAGGAATTGGTGAGTGATTCGGGCCAGCATAACAGACTCTCCACCTATGACAATGTCCACCAGCAGTTCTCCATGGTGAATTCGGATGATAAACAGAGCGTAGATAGTGCCACCTGGTCCACATCCTCTTGTGAAATATCCCTACCCGAACACTCCAACTCCTGTCGATCGTCTACAACCACCTGCCCCGAGCAAGACTTTTATGGGGGTAATTTTGAAGACTCAGTGCTAGATGGGCCACCACATGAAGACCTCTCCAACCAAGGAGACTATGAGAGTAAAACTGACCGAAGAAGCGTGGGAGGACGCAGCAGCCGGGCCACCAGCAGCAGCGATAACAGTGAAACGTTTGTCGCAAACAACACGAGCAACCACAGTGCTCTGCACAGCCTAGTATCCAGCTTAAAGCAGGAGATGGCAAAACAGAAGGTGGAGTATGAAACAAGGATAAAGAGGTAAGATGGTGTATCTCTGCCATGTGTGCTAATTATAAAAATGAGAGGCAGAGTAATTCTCTTATGCACCCATGCCCCAGTGAATCTGAACATAGGAATTGGTAGTAGAGATGGAGAAAATGCTTGGATAAAATAGGAGCCCACCTGAACCTTTTCCCCCTAATTCAAACCAAACCTGGTCTGACATTGGAAAAAAAAATCATAACTTTTTCTTTCCATGATATTTTGTATTTGCATATTTGTGTGTGCCTCATGTTCAGACGCAGAAGGATTGGTGTAGCATGAGAATTGCTGTTCTCAAATTGAAGGCCTAAACATAGTAAGCATGTGAAATCTCACTGAAGAGTCTGTTTCCATAAGATCCTCAGCCTAAATTTGCTGATCCAAGAGGAGTGGAGAGCTGACACAAAGGTTTGGAGAAAACTTTCAGATGTTAGGGTGCCCATCCAAATCAAACTTCTAACCCGTTTGAAGATTGCATGGAAGTAGCTGACATACTGGAGCAGAACAGTGGCATGTCTAATTCAATATCCTGCATTCAGCAGTGGCTTGCACTAAATGCTTCAGAGGAAGTGAAAAATCTCTCTAATGAACAGGGCCAATTGTGCCAAACTGAACTATTGGGGAGAATTTCATTCTGATCCCAGTTTATGCCCTAAAGTTGGAGGACTTGTGGCCCTTATGTTTTAATTTGACTAGAGTAGCTGCAGATGCCATCTGTATTCAAATTAAGTGTTCAGTCTTTTTTAATCTTACTAAACTATTTAATTTAATAACATCTCGCAGCAATGCATTCCATGGGTTAATTCTATTTGCATAAAATGATTTCCTTTTATTTATGTAACATATTTAAATGTGCTGCCATTGAATGACGGATGCAAACATTGCTCTTTTTAACTGGTTGTGACTTAGTAACAATAGTTGTGGCATTTCTAACACACCTATACTAACTGGAAGTGAAAAGCTGCAAACAAATCAGAAAACCATTTTTTTTTTCATTTTCCCATGAGTATAATAGGACTTGGGTAATTGTACAATTTAAAAAATGTGGCTGTCTTACAAGTTTACTTTGTCACCTTCCTTAGACCTGGTGCACACTAACCCCCACTTCGATCTAAGATACGCAACTTCAGCTACGTGAATAACGTAGCTGAAGTTGAAGTACCTTAGTTCGAACTTACCCCAGGTCCAGACGCGGCAGGCAGGCTCCCCCGTCGACTCCGCATACTCCTCTCGCGGAGCAGGAGTGAGCACTTCCGGGATCGATCCCAGAAGATCGATTGCTTACCGCCGGACCCGGAGGTAAGTATAGACATACCCTTAGCTTTAAAAATTCCAAATGATTCATGATCCAAATGGGTACAAATATCCTGTTGGAAATGTTTAAACAACACATAGCACACTTTTCCTGGACACAGGCTCAGTGTAGAGTTAAGCTGAGTCTTGCTACCCTACATGTTAAGACCAGCATGGATACCAAGCAAAAGCAGCAGACGGGATGTTTGAGAGCACTTTGGATGAACAATGAGAATGCTAGTGTATTAGGAGAAAGGTTATGCATGGTGGCTTTCCAAGTTCTTGGGTGGCTTTATATTTAGAACCGCAAATCCTTCTCCTTCATCGGTGGGTACAGAGGGCCTTCCTGCAGTGGAACCAGTAAGGTCCTGCAGCATGGGCAGGACCCATTGTGCCACATGAAGTGCAGTTCCATAATCGCTTCCAAGATGGCTGTGTACAAAAGATCACTGAAGGAGGAGCAAGTATCAGGATTGGGAGTGCAAGCTATTGAAGGCCACATGAGGATAGGGCTCCATAGACTACTCCCAGTCCTGAGGCCAGAGCAGCTCTTCTCCCATTCCACAGCCTGGGAAGGTAAGGGGATTCCGCTCACACACACATGTTCCCAGCACCCAGTTCAGCTACTTGGGCTGGGTACTCAAACAGGATTTGCCTGTTCACTTCACTGAAATTAAATCAAATGAGGCAGGAGGGAGATTTTCAATAGGACTTGTGCACCTCACTCCCTTAGGTGAGTTGGATAATCTCCCCCATACCTTCACTACCAGAAATGAATTACACTGTTTAACAATAGACTGCCCTAAACTAATGAATTTATCCAAACTGTTCAAAAGCAGCGTTCAAATGATGTTTCTTGAGTACCAACAGTAAAGTCAGGGCTTTGTGAATTCTTGTAGCATTGCACTAAGAAAATGAATAGTATCCCACATATTCAGGGTGGGTGGTAACCCTGCTAGTGAGACTTCACTGTTTTAGCTCATGTCAAAAAAGTTTGAGACACTGATTAGTCAGAGGCTGATAAGCTAGGGTGCGGATGGGGCATCGTTTATCAGTGAAGTACAGATGCAACCCAAGGGCCCCACCCCTTCACTTCTGTAATTGGGAGTGTGCTGGAATTCCTGGTGAGGGTGGTACAGTCCATGTTTTACAGCCTGCAGATTGTACATGCTCATTTTCTTCTAAAGTTTAGAAACAGTGCAATGTCTTTCTGTTCCCTCCCCCATGCACAGTGTCACAGCTGTCTGTGCTATTCTAACCCCTAGGTATCCCCAGAAGGGAAGATGTCTCCATTACTCTACTAGTGCTCTATATTCTCTTTGGTGCCCTCCTCCCTGTGACTAGCTCCAGTGGTGGCTACCTCTGCTGCTCATAGATTTCCCCCAGCAGTGACATGAAATTGACGTAATTCTTGTCAGCTTCACCTTGTTCCTGGTGTTCCGAATATCATCCACTGTATCATATAACTCAACCAGGCAATCCAGGGGTGATGCATACAATAGGGAAGAGGTAAATTAAGGATGGACATGTGTTGATCTACTTTAGTCCTGCTGCCTCTCCTTCCACATTTCAAATCATGAGTGCTACTGGTTATATATCTGCACATTGGTAAGATTCAAATTGACACCAAGTTACACACCAGACTGACTTTGGCATTTCATCTTCAGCACTTACATCATTGTGAAATGCAACTTAAGATCAGACTCAAATTGTTTTTGCGTAAGGCAAAATTCCCAAATGAATGGGTGGAAACAGGATTTTTCCTTCATCTGTAAATCCAGCCAAGAGGCACATTTCCTCATTGCTGCTTTGCATGAAACTTTCCTACACAGTTCAAGAGCTGTTAAAATAGGTGAAGCTGAGTCATGTTAGGAAAAGAAATTTTCAATTGTTTTCAAATGGAGAACAATTTACCAGTCATCAATTCTCCTACTTCATCAACACAGTAAATTAAATCTTTGTTTAGAGGAAGAGAGATAGTATGGTGCATGAACTGATGAGTGATTATATCCAAACTCTATGTCTCCCCTTAATAAGGGCGCATAACAGCATGCAGTGGAATAAAGCATTGTCGTTATGCCCTCAGCACAGTTGTATAGTGGATACAGCACTTAGAATAGCAGCTTCTGTTCCCATCTCTGCCACTTACAAGAGACAGAATGGTGTGTATGTCCCCTTCCCTTACAAGCTGTATCTGAACTGGAACACACCATGGCTGCTGATTCCATTGGACTGCAGGCTTTTAGAAATATAAAGGTACAGTGCACAGAAAGCAAAAGGAGGAACAGTTCGTTAGCTGCGTACATCACAATTCTCTGAGCTGTGTTGATAATATTGGAACACATTCAGTGTTTGACATGCATTAGTATTATGATGCATTAGATCATACCATTAGTGTGCTTGGTCCTTTACATAAACCCTCAAATATAGTAAGTAACTTTTTTTAAAACAAAAACAAACCACATCGACTGCAGCTTCAAAAAAGTAACATGTGACTGGACAACTAAGGAAGTTATCATAGACAGTAAAGGAGAAGGGATGCAGATCAGGATAAGTAAAGAACACGTCAGAGATCTTATGACTAATTTGAATAGATTCAAGTCAGCACAGCCTTCTGCTATTCACCCCAGGGTGCTTAAGGAATTAGCTGAAGAAATCTTGGAGCCACTGGCAATAATATTTACAAACTCATGGATGACAGGCGAGGTCCTGGAAGATTGATGAAGGGCTAACATAGTGCCCATCTTTAAAAGGGGGGGACAGGAGGTACTGGGGAACTATAGACCAGTCAGCCTGACTTCGATCCCTCGGAAGCTACTGGAGTAATATATAAAACATTTAATTTGCAAATACCTGGAGGATAAAGTCAGCATGGCTTTACTAAGAACAAATCACGCCAAACCAGCTTGATTTTCTTTCTTTGACAAGGTAACTGGTTTGGTGGATAGGGGAATGCGGTGGACCTAATATACCTCGTCTTTAGAGCAAGGCTTTTGATGCAGTCCCTCACAACATTCTCATAAATAAACTGGAGAAATGCAGGCTTGATAGAACTACCATTAAATAGATACATAAGAGTAACTATTAATGGAATGATGTCAGATTGGAAGGTGCTCTCAAGTGGGATTCCACAGGGATCTGTTCTGGGTCTGGTGTTAATTAACATCTTTATTAATGACCTGTTTATTGGAATAGAGAGTATACTGATCAAATTTGCAGATGACACAAAGCTAGGGGAGTTGCAAATACTTTGGAGGATAGAACTAAAATTCAAAGGGATCTTGATAAATTGGAGAACTGGGCTCTAGACAACAAAAGAAAATTTAACCAGGGCAAATGTAAGGTGCTACACTTAGGAAAGGAAAACCAAATGCACAGATACAGAATGGGGGATAACTGGTTTGGCAGCAACACTGCTGAGAAGGATCTGGGAGTGATGGTGGATCACAACCTCAACATGAGTCCACAATGAGATGCTGTTGAAAAAAAAAAAAAAAAAAAAAAAGGACAAATGCTATTTTGCGTTGCATTAACAGAGGCATAGCATGCAAGTCACAGGAGGTGATAGTACCAATCTACTCAACGTTGGTTAGGCCTCAGCTGGAGTATTCTATCCAATTTTGGTCATTGCCATATAGAAAGGCTGTAGAGAAACTGGGAAGAATCCAGAGGCGAGCGACAAAAATGATCAAAGGGATGGGATGCAAGCCCCATGAGCAAAGACTGAAGGAACTGCATACATTTAGTTTGGAAAAGAGGTGATTTGGGGGGAACATGATAGCAACTTCAAATACTTGAAAGGCTGTCATTAAAAAGATGGAGAAAAAATGTCCCTTCTTGCCACAGAGGGCAGGACACGAGGCAATGGGTTTAAACTACAGCATGGCAGATTTTGATTAAATCTGAGGGGAAATTTCCTAACTGTGAGAACAATAGCACAGTGGAGCATACTGCCTAGGGAAGTCACGGCATCTCCTTCCTTGGAGGTTTTCAAAAGGAGGCTGGATAGCCATCTGTCTTGGATGCTTTAGACACAACAAATCCTGCATCTTGGCAGAGGGTTAGATTAGATGACCCTTCTGGCTCCTTCTCACCTATGATTCTATAATTTTTTCAAACAGTAGCTCAGCACGGGGAATCAATATTTGCAAATAGAAAGAGAGGATCAGGGACATAGTGTTCTGACAGTACATTGGCCTCTGTTGTTACACCAGTGTACAACCAGTGTGAGGCCAGAATCAACCCTTGGAGAAGGAAAAGGACTAATTAATTAATTGCCTAGCACATGCAGAGCTGTTTCCTACCATATACATTTCCAGTGGTTTGTATCCTTCAATTATAAATAACCTAAGAGATGACGATTCCATCATTCCTTGTAGGATACACTTCAACAGTAAACATCCAGTAAGAAACATGTTACTTTAACATTGTCTCTTTAAAGAAACTTGGACTAAGCGTTGTAAATTAAAAGCTGTTGCTCTAATCTAGGCTGGGTAATTCAGTGAGGACTGTCATCTGTATACTTCTATTTCTGCAGCTTGGAACAGAGAAACCTCACCCTTGAGACAGAAATGATGACCCTGCACGATGAGCTGGACCAGGAAAGGAAGAAGTTTACAATGGTAGAAATCAAAATGCGCAATGCAGAGCGGGCCAAAGAAGATGCAGAGAAGAGGAACGACATGCTGCAAAAAGAGATGGAGCAGTTTTTCTCAACATTTGGAGAACTAACAGTGGAGCCTCGCAGGCCTGAGAGAGGCAACACCATATGGATTCAGTGAGCATTCTAAGCTGAGACTGTGGGATTCTGGGAAGGGATGTTGGGGTATTATACTGTTTCAGGTGGCTGGTCACCTGACTGAGGCTAGCACTCAACAAAATGTTGTAAACCATTGAAGGAAGAAATACCTACAGACATTAACCACCCATACTGCAGTGTGTACTTATCAAGTTATCGTACTTTTTGAATGCTTCATAATGCTAGTGTCAAGTGTTACAACTGAATGTGTATATAGGTTTTAAAAAAAAAGTCATCTTAAAGAGAGAGCGAGAGACATATCTCACAAAATATTTTAATGCAAGTCTTGTATTTAAACTGGTAAATTGAAATGTTGTTGCAATCAAGCTTTATATCAAGGCTTTTCTCCCTTGCACTTAACATAATAAGCTATTTTTGGCATTGTGTTACCATCAGCTTATTTTGTATATCAATTTTTTTTGTTACCCTTCTTGCGTGGGGGGGGGGGAACTAAAGATAAACAAATATATATAATGTTAGTTATTAAAACAAGAGATAATGTGTGGCTGTGCTGTTTGTGCCAATGGACTTGCCCATGACCAAAAAGAAAAGTGTAAATAATTTTATAAAAATATAACATTAACATCTGACAAGTTTGGGACTTTTCTCTTTGGACTCGGAACTCTTCATAAATAATATTCTTTTAGTTTTTGGAATGTCAGACCATTTTATCCATGATTTGAAATCCTAAAGGAGATGGTCCGGTTAAGGAATCTTGACCACGTTTTTTTCCAGAATAACCGTCTTTTCATTCTAGTTCAGTTTCCTGTAAATAACAGATAAAGCTATTTGTAGAAGTATTTAAAAAGGAGGACTGGATTTGAAATGGTTTATCATGTCTCTAGTTCTCATATTATTGGTTGACTCCAAATGCTGTTGTTTTGAGGCTCCCCATTTCCCTTGGAGATGCTATGTAGTGAAGGCCCTGAATTTGACTTAAAAGTCCTTGTTAAAGGAGTTCTGGTATTTGACAGTGATGCTTTAAGCAACCAGAAAAAGAAATCACTGTTAGCAATTAAACCAAAAAGCCAAAATAATAATCGCTATTGTGTTTGCATGATTTTACAGTCACAAGAGTAACATTGCTGCATCAACTCTGGGCTGGATCCTGTAGTCCTTTCTCAAGTGAAACTCATATTGGTCTGTGCTGGCAGTATTGATGATGATAGAGATAATGCTGATTAATTCAACTAGGCAAAGCGATTTTGGCTTAGATTCCAATAGTACAATTCAGAGGCCCTGTGCTCCTGAGTCCTTAACACTAGGTTTAAAGAGACGCATGAAGTCTTCTGTGGGACCTCGGGACAGGGGGTAAATTTAACTTCCTATTCATGTTGCCCAAGTGGAAAAGGAAAACACTGGTAGGTGAAACAATTATTTACTTGCTTCTAAGGTGGATATTAAAAATAGCAAGTAATTTTTTAAATTAAAGTAGTTTGTACTCTTCATTTTAGTTGACTAGATTATTCAATTTTTGAATCTTTGTCAGAGAGAGGGTTGAAAAATACTTGGGCTACTCAAATGTTTAGGGTCACCTACACTACACCCGTTCTGCTGCATATATCCACAGAGCTCCATTGGATGCAAAATAGGGCAAATTCTGATTCAGACTACTTGCAAAAGCATGACTTTAGAGGGACTACTAGCATGAAATGGATTTTGCCTGAGCAGAACACTTGCCACTAATTCCTCTGGAGGTAAGTTTCTAGTCTGACTGTTTAGCAGAGCTCTCCTTTGGGCAGTGCTTGTTGGATTGAATGTTATATATATATATATATATATATATATTAAGAGGTGGTGTGTTCCAGTGGATGGGGCACTGAACTGAGACTCGGAAGACTGGGGTTCTATTCACTGCTCTGTCACTGACCTTTGTGCAACCGTAGGTAATCATTTTGCTGCTCTGTGCCTTGTCTATTTAGATTATAGGAACTCTTTCTTATTATATGTATGTACAGCTCCTAGCACAAGGGGACCTCAACCTTGCCTGAGGCACCTAGGTGCTGCTGTAATGTGGCCAATACTAATGTCACTCTTGGAAAGACAGGGATGGTGAGAGGCGTACATCAAACAATTCACACTGCTTCTGATTTCAAAGAGTTCTTTTTATTTTCAGTCACACACATAGAGTATTTATTCATACACAGTAAATTTAAAATCTCGAGTGTCTTTTTTTTTCTTTCCTTCTAAAAAAATATAATTAGTTCAGGACCGGAGCCGCATGTATGTGATTTCCTGAAGTGATTATACTTTTCTGAAAAGTCCGGTGCTGTTTGGGTGTGGAAAAAAAAAGACTGTCAGACTTTTACACTGCACTGCTGTAGAGGAACCGTGCACGTACCTCCTTCTCACACCAGAACAAAATCAGTCACAAACAGTACAAAAAAAATGAGCTTCTATTTATTTTACATAAAGGAATTACATCTAGTCTTAGTAGTTGAACATCCTCTTCCTCCTCAATTGTTCAATCTCCATAAGATTCTAACCCTAATTCCCACCTGCTTTATTTAGACAAAACTCCTGCCGGACATAAAGCAGGAGTTTTGCCGCACTGAGGAATGCAAGGTTGGGCCTAGGTTAGTGTTGTTGTTAAAGTGAGAATATAGGCATCGGTTCCATGCAGCAGCAATGATTGTAGTTAGCGTAGGAGCTTCGCTTTCCAAACAAGTCCCTAACTCTAAAGTACCTGGCATCCATGCATGAGATAAGGAAGAAAACACAATGCATTGTTTGCCAATATACATGGCTCCTGCAGTAGTTGTTTTGGGTGGGAGTGATTTCATTCTAGGGGTTGGGTGTGAAAGGAAAAAGGTTTATTTTGGGGGCACATACTTTATCACCCTCCTGTTAGTTAAAATAGTCATTGTTTTAAATCCTGCAGGCCTGAAGAATGGCATTTTCTTTTCCAGCCTTGGGAACTGCCTTCCTCAGTCTTCTGAATTTTAGCCTGTTAAGGGGAGGTAAGTCAACGCCCTGGGAGTTAGTTAAAACAGGCCTGGTGAGAGACTTAGTGTAGAATTTTGCTAGCTAACCAAAAGGTGTCACTGAAATTCCATGTGAAAACAATGTTGCATTTCCTTTTGCTTAGTGAGGGACATGACAACCCGAACAAAAAAGCATCAATCAAATTATATGTTTGTAAAGGGCCCAATTCTGAAAACGAGTGCCAAACCTAAGTAACTGGGATTTGCGTCCAGGACACTGTGCTGAAGCAAGTCACAGCAGAGAAACCACTCCCGCCGGTTATGGAAGGAGGAACAGGTGCCATGGTCCACAGCTTCCCTCCAGTGCAGGGGCTTGGCACTTATTGATTCATAGGCTGTTCTTGTGACATGCCTCCCTTTACTCCTCTTCCCTCTTTTAGAGTAGGGAGAACAACCAGTGAAGGGGCAGCACACCATGGGGGAAAGAGGATCTCCTGGCATGGGGTCTCCAAACCTGGCCCTCCAGCAGCATGTGTGGTGTGGAATCCCACTTAGGATCTGGGCTGTAAGTAGCAGTTTACATTTTTTTCACCCAAGCATTTTCCTGTATTAAGACCATTTCCAATCAGAATATGTTGCTTTGTCCCATTGTGCTCATTTAATTTGGTATCTACTAACACAACAATGCTTATAATGAAATCATTTGCTACTGACATGACTCTCAGGTGTGTATCCATCAGTTTGCAATGCTAAACGTAGCACCAGCTACAAAATTGCTTATAATGACAGAGTTGTTCTGACTGACTGATCAGCATGCTAATAAGGTACCAGTTCTTTAATTTATGTAAATCACATGGCTTGGCTGAAACTATTGTTCCACACTTATTATAGCCTACTTCATTTTCTTTCAATGTTTTTTTAAAAAAGCTATTTTTTCCCTCATGGAAGTTTAAGCAATAGCAATAAAGCAATTGCACTACATCTATTATTATGAACGAGACAATTGCATTCCTGGAAAAATAGAAAGAATGCCTTGTGCATTGTAATACCCATGAATTATGGTTATAACACTCCTAACCATATCCTTTCATTGTGCCTTAAAAAGTGCGCTAAAATTACATACAGTAAAATCTACACAAGACACCCTGCTTAATAGGCAGCCTCCTGTGTTGAGACCACTCCCAAATACCTTGGTCCTAAGGTCATCCATCCCCACAATATCTGAGTTCCTGTAGCTTGTGTCAATACTGGTGTGTACAACACTCCCAAATCAGAATAGGCATGTATTGCACAAATTTTCACATGTATAAACACCACCACAAGGCACTACAGAATCAGGTCCCTTAGGACCAATTCTGCACTACCTTCTAACTGACTTTTGCCATCTCTTTGGACAATGGCTTAAGACAGGTCTCATTGTATTTCACATACTGTGCATTTCTAGATACTGTAAACAATGATACAGATTGCATTTCAGGAAAGGTGTTCTGATATTGAAAGGGGAAAAGTATGTTAGATCCTCTGTTCTTAACTAGCAGATAACTGATACTTAGAGAAATGCATATGCTTGAGTTCCTCATCCAAGAGATGTCTGAATTGACACTGTTTCACAGAAAAATTGGCTTGGCAAATAATCTCCATTTACTTAGAAAACAGCAGGAATTTTACAGTTCATTCTTCAATTTTTTGATAATATGGTGCTATGTATTACCCTAAATACTATTCCACTTGATTTTTTTTCTGCAAAAATAACATAACATGCTCCTTCTCTCATTCACACTGTGATGTGACTGTTCCTTGCATATTACCTTTAGAGCATGTATGCCAGTAATTCAGTGGAATTATACCCTTCTTGCCTGCTCTTTGAGGAACTAATGAATTTGCATTTTATAGCAGAGCAAGAGTATAAGGTTGATACAAATACGACTTTTCTTAGGGAACATCTGCTCTAAACAATGTATCATGGATTTGAGTATAATCACAATTTTTAAAAAAGCCTTCTGACAGGCCAAAATGACTTCCTTAATCAGTAAGCACCATACATCATCGTCGTCTTTTAAAGAGAATGCATTAATCTTATTTTTATCTACTGTATATCTGATGTAATATCTCTTATTGGAGTGTTCATATAGAAGACAGGAAATTAACTTTATGGAGAGACTAATTGTCATAAATTTTGCTATGCTAGGGGGCATCAGTGTTGTGTAGATGATAATACTAACCTCACTGAGCCCTTAAGATTTAAATAGAGAATGATTAATCAGAAGTGATTTGGAAATATGTAGGTTCTTTGGAACACCAGGTAATTGGAACTGTTCAGAAAAAGTCAGCTCGATAGGTGGGTATAACTTATCAAAGCTACATCACACTCACATTCTTTATCACAATCTCTTTGGACCTGATTCTGCCACTCTTATGTGAATGATACTAAAAGGGACCATTTACAGATGAAGATATTAATTAGCATGGTGACAAAGTCAGACCCTTTCTGATGGCAGCTCCCAACACTGCCAAATTGCAGTTTGTTTCTGGATTACCTGACAGATGCACCACATCAGAAATATAATTTCATTATACACTAAACTGGATCTGAAAGTAGTTATTTTTCAAACATACAATATTTTGGATCCATGCTCCCTATGACAGAACTCACTGTGTATTAATTTACTATACTTGAAGGCTGGACCTAACGGTAGGGTTTCATCATACATTATATTTTTGGGAAGCAACAAGAATTACAGCTAAATAGGTAATCTTTTTCCAAAGTTACCAGTTGAAATAGATCTCTTACTCTGTACTACCACTACCTTATGCAGTGTGGTTGCACACACAAAGTGTATACCCAAGGGTAGGAATCCACTAAATAATTGACTTTAGAGGGTAAGAATTACAGGTAGATAGCCTACTTCCCAAACAAAAGCAAGTTATGTGTTAAATGGGGCTTTCAGCAGGGGTCTACATAGTTACCGCATCCTCCAGTTGCTTTTACTGTATCGGGGCTCATTGGGATTATATTTTATTTCATGTACGCTATTACAGAGTCAACTGATCTTAAACCCAATGGAAAGCTGAAAGAAGCAAAGACAACATGAAGGTGGGGAGAAAGCAATGTAGCTATGCCCACTGGAAATAATTCCCCTTTACTATATTATAGCAAACTAAACACTAGTTATTATCTAACAACCAAGCTATCTGAAAGAAAGAACAATGCAAGCATGTCATCTCCATTCTGACACATTCATTTTCTTGTGTGTAGGTGAGTTTCATCGAACTAGTCTCATGCTTATCAGCGGTCTGTACCAGTTTGAGAAACCCTATTGTGTAAATGAACCTACTTACTTCCAACTTTTGAAATACCAAGTCAAATGTTTCCATAATTTTTGTGGGATTTTAGGCAGAGGCCTGCAAATGATTTCACAGACTCACCATGGCTAAAATACCATACAATGCATCTGCCAGTGACACTTCTGAAGGATCCATCTGAGTTTTTCCTTCATTGTCTTCCCATGGAGAAGACATAACTCACAGCATAAAGGTAACTGACAACTGTTTTTTTAAAAAAACAGTAAACTTACTGAAGCTGCAGAAACGTGCTTTTTCCAAGAAAAGCAGCATTACCTGAAATGTCCATGAGCATCAACATGGGAAACTGTCAAGTTTGCACAGAGTAGGGGAAGAAATGCAGTACAGAACTGATAGGAGCATTGGTTTGGTTTCCAGTGATGCCTGTAGATGATGATCTTGCTTCGCATCATGTTCCTCCTCTTCTGTTCTTCTAAAACAGGTTATACATACAGCTTTATAAGGCCACATTCAGAAGAGTAATGTGAAAACTGCAGCCATAGGAGATGAGAGAAGTAAGTTTTAACTCCCTATAGTAATACAAACCAGCATAGGCAAGGAGTAATTGGGGGATATTCTTGGTTGTCAACTCTGCCCTGTCCAGCACTAAACCCAGTGTATGCTATGTGCACGGAAGGGTTTGCAATTAAAACAATACTACAGTCAACTTGCTGAAAGAGATGCATCACAAATCTGGAGTGGAATCTTTCTCCAAGTCCCTGAGCTCTGGCTTCATTGTGTGTCACAATGGTGCCAACACACTTAGTGCATTAAAGGGTAGTAGCTGTGTCTATGTAGGTTGCTTTGTATGCTGCACTGTTAAAGGTGTTTGTTTGGGATGACACTTCTGTTATTCCGTCACTAACACCAGAAAAGGAGACAGGGGAGTTAACACTCATTACAACAATTCAGTCCCTAAGTTTTAGAAATCATACATTTTGCTGCTGGTGAGTGAAAGATTATAGTGACACTGTAATTTTATTGCCTCTAACCATTTATTGCCATTAACATACTCATTCCATTTGAACTTGATCATGCAGGAGGTCCGCAAGATAAAAGCAAGCAGCTCGGTGGTGCTGCCACTTGTCCAATTGATCCATCTGGAGTCACCAACTGTGAGTGTTGCAGAATTATCCAGGCAAGTTGAATTTGCCTCTTTTGGGGTGGGGAAGAGGATGAGAGGGTCTACAAGTGCCAGAGAGAACACTATGGGTAAGTGCATTTATGCTTAAACAATATGCACTGACCTTTCAGGAAACTGAATAATAAATACAAAAAGCAATCCTCTGCCACTGCTAAGAACCCACATTGACCAGGGCTCTGCCTTAGAACTCCAAAGTTCACAATATTCAGATATAGGGTTTCATTTCTCATTAGGTGCAGTGCCTTTAAATACCAGTCCCTCTCTTTTTCTCAGTCCTTTCCCCTTCTGGCTAAGGGGTCTCGGAAATTAGCAGTTGTGCTTTTCAGTAAGGTTTTATGCAAACTCTTCTTTTAAATTTCTCTTTGTTCATGCTCCCTTGAATTGGGGTTAAAATCATGCAGGATTGAGTCTGATTGTTCTACCTGAAACATAGCCTCTGCTTATGTAAATCTTACAGCAAGAGCTGCAACCAAGACCGTTTATGATAGGTTCACAACTACAGTGTTTAGGGTCATTAAAAAATCAGTGTTCTACAATAAAGAGTGCAGGTTCACTCTACATTTCTTTCAGGTTAGACCCAAGGCTTGTTTTGTTTGGGTTTTTTTAAACTCATTGGCAAACCTGGTCCACATTTTGCTTTGTAGGGACCCCTCAAATCTCTCCTCTTGGCTTGGGGAGGGTCTCATCAGAGTCCAGCACACCAGTAATTCTTTCTCCTAGTTTTAGGGTAAGGGAGTAGGACTGAAGCTGAAAAGATAAGATCTGGTTTTGGAGAATGTAAGGCAAATAATCCTGATGCCTCCTGGCATAAATTGATCACCAAGAAGAACTGTTTTCTGCACCATCATATATACTATTGCACATTGAGGGGTATTGTCCACCACCTATGTGCCTGAAGCATCAGGGACTGATCCCTGTTACCTACTGGACTCAATGGGCCAGTTCAAGGATGGCAATTTCAATGTCATTTCATTTGTGCTTCTTCAGATGTTAGGCAGGAGTTGATGGCAGAGTGGTATTTTCATGGCACCTGCAGATGATTTCTTGCCCATATCTATACAGGACTCCCTTCCCCCCCCCCCCCCCCCCAACCATATGTCAGTCAGTGAGTAGATGACCTTAAAAGATTTTCTATCCCACTCATCCCATAAACCGTTGGTTGTTCCTGGAAAATGAAAGACAGTGATTTCAATGTCTGCCTATATAGTTTGTAGAGAGACAAGGTGGATGAGTTAATAGCTTTTTATTGGACCAACTTCTATTGGTGAAAGAGACAAGCAAGAGCTCTGTGTAGCTAGAAAGTTTGTCTCTCTCACCAACAGAGGTTGGTCCAGTAAAAGATATTACCTCACCCACCTTGTCTCTCCAATATCCTGGAACCAATGTGGCTATGACACCACTGCAAAAAACATATAGTTTTTAATAAGATGAGATCACACATTTTCTTCCTGCAGAGCTGGAAGTTCTTAACCATCTTGAAATTCCTTTCACAATCCTCCTTTGAACGGGAAATGTTTTAGTTGCTCAAATCCTTTGTTCCACATTTACAGTATCTCCCCTATAAGGAGACTTGGCACAAGCATTCAGAAAAGTAGCTATTTTTTTCACTGGCCCAGTTACTGTTATACACAAATATGTGTCCTGCTGATATGGACAGAGCTTTCAACTGAGGCATCAACAAGACAAACAATAATTAATCCTTCCCTGAGGCCTATTTTAAAATATGACAAATCCATTAAGAAATCACTAGTAATTAAACCAACTAAACTTGCTCATAATGCACCATACACTAGGAGACCCATAATCACATGTTCTTGAAGACATGCTAGCTTAGCAATTCAGGCTTCAAGCTGTGCAGTTAATAGGAGGACATTATGATTAAAAATCATGACCAGCTGCTGGAGAAGGCACAGTTCATTAACCTGAAATGGAGTTCACGCTTTATTCGTATTGCTTTGAGGAAGGTCTGAGCCAGGGAGCAGTTTAATTGGAGAACGTGTTTTTCTAAACAATAGTATGATGCTACCCCCAAAAAACCCCTACAAGAGACAAACCACACCAAACCACATTGCCATTAGTAATGTGGAGAGAGCCAAAATGACTGGTTGTTGGCCACAGTTTCAATCTACAGGACCATCAGGCTTTAGTTTTCCATCACACCAGCACCTGCCTTCACCATTCAGATTGACTGAAGCCATACCAGACTTCTAAGCTGAATTAGAACCTGCACTAATATGCTTAACCCAGCCTTACAGTCTCCTCATTAATTTTTGCCAGGCACAAAGTTTACTTGCTGATCTTAAGCCCAATGATGATACTGCTCTCTTACCTATGTGCCCTGAACAAATGGACAGGTAAAGTTTTGCCACATTTCTATAAATGCTATTCAACATAGGTTATTTGCCATAACCAATCTTTTATAACCAACTACTTTTCACCCAAACAAGTGAAATTAAAAGTGACACCAGCAGACTAAAGAACTGAAATTTCACGTTCGGGGTCCACAGCTCCCCCTAAAGATCAATGGGCATTATGAGATATGCAACTGCAATAGCCACATCCTGATCCAGAACCACTGTAATTTAGGATTCAGGGTTTGTTTGAAGTCAAACTATGGGCTAGAGTGTGGATTTGGATTCAATGGTGCCGAGATCTCATGAAATGTTCTCACAAAGATTTTTACTTCCATGCTGGAGAGGTGCAAGCCTCACAAAAACCCTGTGTTGGAAGTTTTCAAGTACATTTAAATGGAAAATATCCCTCTCCTCCCCGTTCCATTTTGGAACCAAAACCTTATAAAGGTGTTTGGAGCCTGGGCTTTAAATCCAAATTAATTCAAACCCCATTGATTTGCAGTGCAAATGTTTTAGTTTGGGCCCATTTCTTTGCATGAAAACTGGAAGAAGAATAGACCACAATGCTCAATTTGTTTTGCCTGATTACTGTAGGGTACTCAGCTCTGCACAGCCTAATCACATCACTATCTTAACAAAAAAAGACATTTGAATCCCTTGCTTATCACTGATTTACAATAGTAATGTTACCCAAACCCCGCTCTTTTTTATTCTGCTCCTTAAAGGTATCGAAGTAAGTTGAGGGTTGCTTTAGGCTGATTTAATCTCCATAATTTAATAAGGAGTGAAGGAAAGGGGCAAGAAAACAGAGTGGGCTGTAAGAGCTCACTGTGTTTGCCTTTTCTCCCCCCACATGAAGATAAAATAGGATTTCCTGGCTACAACTATTTTAATTAAATTAGTATAGAGCTAGTTCTTAATGAAAGCAACCCAAACATTCCTTATTGGAACAGTCTGTCTTGACATATACATGCATGTTCACAGTAGGTGAAATACACTCCTGTGCAGAGAGCCCTTAACAAGGACTCCACAACACTTTAACTCCTCAAAATAGGGCATAAGTGGAGCACAGGCCCCCTGAGGAGGAGGAGTGAAGTTCACTCATTGGCTACAGCTTCTTCACAGGTAAGGAGGGTCCCATTCTGTAAAATTCAGCAGCTTTCCCAATGTACAGTCACAGAGGTGCACTTGGGGCTTCACCTACAGAATACTTAAAGTATTTCATTTGAATCTTGACCCTACATGACTTGGTGCACCCAAAGTCTCACCGAAGTTAATAGGTGCAGAAGACATGCATAATGAAACCCTATATCAATATGGTTTACTACACTGTGTTATTTATCTGGAACACTAAAAACCAACTAAACAAAAGCAAATCAGTACACCCATGAAAAGTATCTTCACGAGAAGAACTCAGACAAGATTTCCTTTTGAGATGAAGGGGTAGGAAAGTCCCTTCTGCTTTTAATAATTCAAAACTATCAGAATGCATTGGCTCAATATTGACTCTCAAAACATTGATGAATGAAGCCAAAGCCAATATGGGCCCCTTAAACCAACCAGAGGGAACATAGAAGGGGAAAAAGAAAACAATGTAAGGAGGGAGAAATGGTAATATGTCAAGTTCCTCATTAAATGTCACTATTTCAGTTTATCCATGCTTACTGGTTCTGGCTACCACGTCAATCTAGGATCTTGCAACAAAGTTGGACATTTATCCCCCAGTCTTCATGCTGAACTGTTATTGGCTTTTTGGTCTTTTTTAATAATCTACTTTTATCAACACTGATATGTTACAGTCAGTTATACTTTGAAGTCTGCTCATGCAGGACTACAGGCAGGTGTCTTATTACAGAATGGACATGGCAAGGTGAACAGTTCATTTTCCTAGTTAGGGTTTGGAGATTTTGTTACTGTTGTTGTTTAATGTATACTGGCCGTAAGTCCCACTTACTCAATTTACTAAATATACATGATTCTTTATATACACTGAAACCCCTGGGATCTTCCTTCTCAGTACATTCCTGACCAAGGAAATAGCCAGAGGTCAACTACATTTAGGCATACCATGGTCTTTTTTTAAAAGATCCAACAAGACAAGGTGGTGGATTATTACATATTAGTTACAGAGAAGAAAAGAATCAGTTCAGCTATTTACATTGTAAATATCTCGTTTTCTAGAAGAAAAAAATGGCCCTGTTCAGTGGAAATTAGCAAGAGAACAGGTGTGCCTGTCTAAACTGATAAGCACAATGAGGGTATTTTAGTTTCCAAAGTGGCCAAGTCTTACTTGAGTATATACATTTCAACCTTTCAGCCTCAGCTGGAAATGACTCACTGGGTCTTGGCAGCAGTTTTCAATGTTCTTTTTGCAGACTTGTACCTTCTCCAAAAGCCTTAACCTGACATTTGTTGACGAGACTGAACAGAAATGAGGTTTAAACAATTCAGCTCTTGCAATCAATACCTAATTACAAAAAGAGATATTGGGTCTTTCTGACAAGTTTCTAATATATCTCATGGATTCCACTAAATTCCATTGGACAGAGCTATCAATAAAGATGACAAACAATTTTTTTTCTAATTAAGACATTACATAGTTGTGGAATATTCAAATCTGCTGAACATTTTTTTTGTTTGTGTAGGGGGTATATTTATTTAAAGTTCATCTTGAGCCTGCCACAAGTTAACAGTATCCTTTGAAAACTGATGTAAATTCAAACAAGCACAACTATCAGATTCTTGAAGATGCATGGTTTGATTAAGTTTACAGGGTCATTTTCCACATTAAGAAATTTGGATCAAATATTAGTATATCGCTAAAAACCTAAAAAAACAACACACACACACACACTCGTGCACGCAAAAAAATTATAAACCTAAACACCTAACTCAGATTTTTGTTAAATAGTCAGACAAACACAAGTCTAATTCTTTTCCCAACAGGTTTCCATTCTGTGTTCCTCTCCTCAGAAACACTAAAGCGTATAGCTGGGTAGGAAATATGAGAATTTTTGAAAATTGTCTTGTCCCAAATAGGGACAAAAAAGTAAAAATCTTCAAAATTTTCTACAAACTGATCATAAAATTACAAATCAGATCAGGTCAACTTGGGATGTTGTGGCAATTTCAAAAATTTTTCAAATTGGAAGCTTCATCAAAAACAACCCTTTCTCACAAACAACCCTTTCTCACAAACAGTTTAGGTTCTGATGAATCTGCATGTTCAGATGAAAAAAAAAATGTTGTTAGAAAACCTCCAACCAGCTCCACTGAATCCATTAACTTGGATTGCATTTAATGAAGGGACAGTGTTATGGAAATTGCTCTCAGGGCACTGCCATAAGTCTAGTTTCTTCAGTAAGCACCAGGTAACAGCCTGAAAGTGAAACCATATATGGGAGCCTCAGTTTGGCTTGTAAATTTAGCAGAGTAGTACTGCCACAGCATCATCTGATCTAGCCAATGTTGCCACCTCTTGGAGTTACAGATTTATGCCATGAAGAAAAGAATTTCAAAAGGAAAAATGCAATGAATTAGGGATGTATTAGTCATCTTTGTTCTGGTTTTGATAAACAAAATAAGCTACCATAAGTGGACTTCCACTTAAAAGCTATGTGATATAGTAATCTACTGAACTTGAGGTTACATCAGGCATCCCGTGTAAACTAGAATTCAGAATAAGAATGTGAGTTGCAAAAATCTCAGTGTTGGACCAACTTAAAGAAATAGTTTAATTGTCTAAAGATACATTAAAATCCTCATGGAATGTTTCTTTAGAATTTATTGAAACCAGTACGGCTCTGTGGATATTATCCTTTCTGTAGATTTCTTGAATCAATCTTTAGAATCTTATAGCAGAAAAGTATACCTCTATTTAAATTCTATAGGCTGGTGATTATTTTCTATTACATTCTATATTTTTCTATAAGGGAGATGATTAGTCAATCATGCATAACCAGAGCAAGCCTAAAAAGAAACCACTCTTCCAACAGCCATCAAGTCTGTAGGAGCAAGGTTAATCTCAATACCAACAGCTAGACCTGCATAACCATCTGTTTATTTCAACCTCCTTCCCGTTCAATCAAGGAAAAATACCAGTCTCTTAGAAGCATTAGTACACTGTAATTCCTGTAGAGTTCTCATAGCATCCAGAAACTTAGAAAGATGCCCCTGAAGATGTAGTAGCCCCATTGGAGAGGTTCTTCAATCATTTCCTTCCTCTACAGTTTCTTAAAGTGACTTTAATTAATGTTCAGAACAGAGAATGGCAATCACTTTACTCTGCCAGTGGCTATCAACATGATTTAAGGAAGTCACTTAAAGGTATCAGACACCTCAAGATGCAGATAGGTGCCTAGTGGAATTTTCAAAAGCACCTAGGCACCTAACTTCAATGGAAGTCAATGAGAGTTAGGCACCTAAGTGGGATATTTCAAAAGTGCATAGGTGCCTATCTGCAGCTTCGGGCATTAAATCTAGCCCTTAGCCAGAATGTGTCTCATTCTCTCCATTATTTTAGCTGTAAAGCACTTTGAAAACTTCAGATAAAAGTATACAAGTGCGAGGTATTAATTAATATTATTAAAAACAGAGGTAGATTTAAAAATCACTGGCAAGAGAGAATAAGAGCAACCATCATTTCATGCTGGCTACAATATTGAACTAATGAGGAGAAGGCTTGAAACACAGATGTCTGGAACGTCTAGAAACTATGAAGGTTTTTATCTATCCATAGGTATTTACAGAGCGTCCATCACTGTAGTTTCTAGTTCATTGGTACCTGTATTCCTTTAGGTTACATGTTGACAGCATCAACTTCCTGAGCCAAGAGAAAATGAATGATACTATTCATGTTTGAGGGGTTGTTACTCCAGCTCTGACAGATCCGCCAAGGTCTATTGTTCATTTGCTGATAGCTTTGTCCAGGGTGGAGAGCCTTGCACCCTTCAAAGAGCAGAGCTGCCCAAAAGGAAGATTGACAAATTTAAGGACAAAAAGAAATGCTATGATTGTTGTCTTAGGCCACAACTCAGCAAAGCACTTAAGTATGTTCATCCCTGTTCAGCAAAGGATTAAAGCACATACTTAAGTATAAGCATATGTGTAAGTCACATTGACCTGTGTGTGACTTAGGCACATGCATTGGTGTTTTGCTGAATCAGGGCCTTAGACAGGCATTTAGATAAACTGTATTCCTTATTATAGGGATTCCTATAGTGCCAATCACTAGGACGTCTTTTATGGTGACTGCATCCCTTTTCATGAGCCCAGGGAAAAATGAATAGTACCGCACAAGAGAGTGGTCATTGTTCTAGTTTTGACAAATTAAACTTGGGAGAGTGTCCACACACCTCTCTACAAAGCACTTCCCAGCTACTGCCTGTGTAGCTATGTTCACAGCATTACTATCACTGCACGGAAAGTCTTCAAGTCTATGGCATGTTTGTAGTAAATTGCACTCATTTAATAATCTGTCACTCCAAGAGGCTCACCCTTTTTTGGGTTGAGAAGACAACCCAAAATGGTGCACACCAGGGGGATATAAAATGGAGGTGAATTCTCTATATTTTACTAGTGTTAATGTATGATGATTGAAATCTGGAGCTGATATCTGCTATTATTGCTAAGGAGTCCCCCTCAGTGTTATTGCTTTGACACGCCTACAATGCTTTGTGGTATCCCTTTAAACCCTTTCACTAGTATTTGCATTCACCTGAAGCTGGATTAAGGTCATGTTGCTAAACAATAATTTGATGTTTCATGGCTTTAAGAGAGAATATTGCTAAATCTATTTAGCAGTAGTAATTTATTGTTTATATTTATTGCTTTCACACCTACTGCTGTAACTGAGTTTTTAGAAAAATCACATACATAATTTTGTTTTCAATATATGAAAAAATGTAATGGAAAAAAAGCCACCAAAACATACCTGGGGAAAAATTACTTTATAGTGTAATTTCAAGACCACTCAGAGCTACTAACTCTGAGATTACATTACATTTATTCTTTATTTTTATTTTACATACTTGAGTGGAAGCTTTATTGTTTGCTTTTTACTCTGGACAAAATCTCAGTTGATATTCAGATATTTTCCCCAGCTTAGGGATGGCAGATTTGTCAACTGTCCAATCAAATATTTGTAGATTCAAAAATTGTCATACATTACAGTTAAATAGAATAAGCTATTTAAATTAACTCTTCCTGCCATTTGGATGAGGCATACATTACAGATGGCACAGCACATTTGGATAAGAGGAGAGAGATGTGAACCCTAGAATTCTGGCTAAATTCCAACTCAGACAATTGCATTTTGCCTACCTAAAATCCTCATTGCTGTTTAAGGCGGAAAAACTGTTCTTCACTTGCCCTAAACAATTGTGTAGTGTTGCTGTATGCTGTTAAAAGACCTGACACTACTCTCTGCGGCAAGTTCAAAGTATTATTATCTATCAAAATCCAATTGATATTTTCTCAATATTGGCTTCTTTAGAAATATGCAAAAACTGCCTGAGATCCTGATTGTTACACTCCCAGCTTGGCTCCTGGCTGGTAAATAAAGGCAAAGCCTATTAAGTGTATGAGAATATTTGACCATTCAATTTACTAACCTGCTGTGTGTAGCCCAGTTGGTGAAGCATTTTGAGGAATCAGCTGATTTGTCACCGGGGGGAAAAAAGGCTGAAACGAACTATAGAATCAATGGTGTCCAAGTAATGTAATTCCCATGAGGGAAATTATTTAAAGGGAATTCAACTCCTTTGCAGCAACAAATACCTAGAGAGGAAGTAGACTGCAAACATCCCTTGTCTGCAATCCTGGCTTACCACGCACCTAATCATAAATGATACATAAAAATTGTGTACATCCTTCTTGTTATCTGAGCCTATCCCCCCACATTTTAGCTCCTAACACACACATACACATTATAATTAACAAAGATAAGCCTATCTATAAACTAAGAAAAATAACTCACTGTCTTATCACTATGAAAAGTTTGTCTCTGAAGTCCTTGTGGGCTGAGATATTAGGTATTCACAGGACAACTCCTCCATCCTCAACCCCAACAGCCCCCAAAGACAGATGTGCTTCCTTTTAACCTGGTCCTAACTCATATCTGTTCTAAAAATCAAAGCAACAAATGTTAGCATGCACCACTGATGCACATTTTCCTTGTAAATCTCCATTCCGTGCATCCTCCGTACAAACCAGTATTATTAAAAATATATATATCAGTTGAAATTTGGGTGCTACATCTTCAAGGGTCTGAGAGAGCTCAGGCTTGACTTATTATTTTTGCTTTTACAAATCTTATATGATATACAACTTAATGAACAAATTGAACAGATTATATACTGGCAATATGTTACAGATGTATTTACGTAGTTCACATGAAATGGGCCAATTAGTTCTAGAGTGCATACTGTGTATCTCTATATAATGTATAGAGATACACAGTTGCACATACTATCATACACATTTGTGTGTGCGCTGTACATGTACTGAGATAAATGTGTGTATATCTGTCTAAGTGGGCAGAAGTAGATAAAATAGATTAGCAAGATAGTGAAATCAGATACACACACATACATACGTAGAGTGGCTACTGCACACCTTGTCATGCCAGTGTGAAAAGGACGGTTGCAGGTTGCTGGTTTTGCAGCCATTAATTTTACATTTTATGGAAAAAAAGGCTTCTTTAATTCCCCTTTTTTTTCAGTAAGCATCATTGGAAGAAGACCAAAGCAGAGCAACTATAAGTTAAATATATACTTGAGCTTAGCTGCATTACATAACTCTGTAGGAGAAGCAGGCTGAAAAGGGTTGTTTCATTTAAATCTTTATCTTTTATTTCTCTTCCTTTCCATCGTTTATTCTTGTTATTATTTTCCCCCTAAATTGCCTCATCTTCTGAAGAACGTTGGGTTTCGCAGGCAGGCGGCTAGTCACCTGCAACAACCGAGGGGTCCTGCAGAAGCTTCCAAGCTGCTGTCGGTGTCAGATGCCAGGGTTTGGTCAGTGGACATGGAGGAGATGTCGTTGACAGATGAGGATGGAGGGAGGCTTTCGCTGCTGTTCACTGCTGCACCTGTGCTAAGAAAATGAACACCAATGTGATTAAACCTGAAACCCAAGGATTCCTTGCAACTTGAAGACAAATGAAGCATTTCTTGTTGCAACAGGGATTTGGTCAACACATCATTTTAAGCAACAGTGGAAGATCAACAAAAATAGGCCATAGAAAGCCCAACCCTGGAGCCATACAGGTCAATGGAAGTTTAGCTATTGACTTTGATGGCAGTAAGATTCGGACCATAATGCTTCCTTTTCCAGCCTCAAGTTCTAGTCTTGATTAACATTTTAAACTACAGAAGTTTTGGTGGAAACATCTACCTCATGAGGCTGTTTTGAATAAAATTCATGTTGCATTTCTTATAAAGTGACTTCAATGATGTATCCTCTTAGAGCCATGAAAAAATCAGGCTAGGGGTTTGTGGTCCGCTGAAATTGAGCCTGAACAGACTGTAGGAGGCATAAGCCAAGTGAACAGAAAATATCTAGGAAGATTTGAAAATCTCCTAGTCTCTGTGAACAACTCAGATTGCTAGTAGATAGTTTGGTGGAAGAACTTGTGGGATCCAATTATGCAAAGAATGAAAAAGTATGCCATGTGATATTATCAAGGGAGGAACATCTGGGTTCAATGGCTAAAGCACAGAAAATGGGGACAGAACTGGTCTCTGCCCCTGCTACTGAATCACTTAACCTCTGTGTATCTCAGTTTCCCCATCTGTAAAATGGAGGATAATAGTAAACTTCCTAACCTTCCCAAATCAGTTTGCACTTTGAGATTCTCAAATGACTAGTGAAATATTATGGAGAATGATTATTAGCATTACTAAAGTTATTCAGAGAGAGAGAGAGAGACAGACACACATTCATCCATATATGGCAATAATATCCATGTGGTAAATTGTACAATCATATGAAGAATGAATTTATCATGTACCTTTGATAGCTTCCCCAGTACTCCACCCACAGGGGTGGCCAACATGAGTCTGAGAAGGAGCCAGAATTTACCAATGTACATTGCCAAAGAGCCACAGTAATACATCAGCAGCCCCCATCACCTGCCCGCCCAACGGCAGCCCCGCCAATCAGCACTTCACCACTGCACCTCCCGATCAGCTGTTTCGTGGCATGCAGGAGCCTCAGGTGTGGGGGAGGAGTGAGAGCACAGCAGGCTCAGGGAAGGAGGGGAAGGAGTGGAGTGGGGACAGGGCCTGTGGCTGAGCAGCGAGCACCCCCCAGCACATTGGAAAGTTGGCGCCTGTAGCTCCAGCCTGGAGTCGGTGCCTATACAAGGAGCCACATATTAACTTCTGAAGAGCCACATGTGGCTCCGGAGCCACAGGTTGGCCACCCCTGCACTAATCCATCCCCCGTAGGACTTAACATCCCAGCCCCAAACAACTGGCATTCATTTTTTGTTTTGTTTTGTTTTAAATTAACTTGCCGATGTGCTGCTGCTTCTCTTCCAAATTTATGCTAGCCAAGGTGTGAGATGGTTAGATTCAGTTCGGCCTTACTTACAGCTTTTATTTACAGATAAAAATTTCATGACTTTAACATTTGATATCATATGACCATGCAGGGCTGGAAACAGGAGATCTCCATTTGAGGACCTAGCACTTGTTTCTTGCCCTGCAAGATCCTGAGATATCAGACATTAAAGCTGTTGCATTGTTAGGGTATAGAAAAACAATTCTAGCTCATTTTTTGAGGTTTCTGCATCCTGCAGTTAGAGTGATGGTACCTGAGGCAGGATACAAAACAATCCTATTAAATATTTAAAAACTCCAAAACAGCCTTAAAATATTATTTTAGCAGCATATGGCATATACAGAATAAATGACAATGTGGGATGGAATCAAGGGTTGAATGTCACTCATTTAGGATAATCTCACTCACTTGTGAGTTACATGTCCATCCCCAACTCAAGCCTTTGTACCATACATTTCATATATTCTCTGTCCCCTCCCACACACACATCACTACATATAAATAACGAGACACTCACACAGATGATTGAACAACTCCAAAAGTCTGCCTAAGGCCAGAATTGCTTTCAACTACACCTCTACCCTGATATAACGCTGTCCTCGGGAGCCAAAAAATCTTATGGCTTTATAGGTGAAACCACGTTATATCGAATTTGCCTTGATCCGCCGGAGTGCGCAGCCCCGCCCCCCCCCACCCCAGAGCACTGCTTTATCGCGTTATATCCGAATTCGTGTTATATTGGGTCACGTTATATCGGGGTAGAAGTGTAGTTTATATTGGCCATGCATTTGTAACACTGAGTAGTTGGTTAACTATTAGCCTCTTGATTTGATTCTGTAAAATTTGCAAAGTAATGCAATGACATTTTTAAACATAGCACGCTTTGTCTTCCTGATTGAAGAATTTCATTTCTCATGGATCTCTACATATTTCACTGGTATTTATCTACAGTTTTCCACATGCACTTTTCTTTATCATTACACTCATTCTAGGCTATGGAACATTATATTTAAATATCGTTCAGCCAAAGCAGGTGGGTTTGAACAGAGGCAGAGCATGTCTCACTAGTCGAAGATTTTTTAGAACGAAAACATCTCATTGGCTTTCTCAGTCTCAAACTACCTGACAAAAATCTGCTGTTTAGTCATGGACATTGTTAAGGTCTGATCCAAAGACCACTGAGGTCAATGAAAAGAACCCTTTTGGCTTCAATCAGCTTTTGGATCAGATCATTAGTGGGCCATTTCTTTTGGCAGGTGAGCAGCCTCATTAGAGTTTGGCAACGTAACAACAGAAACTGAATGGGTGAAACCTTTTGCTTCAGTATGTGCCTGGTTCTGCACCATGTGCGTCTGGTTTTGCACCACGGAAGTCACCATTCAATTTGGTGTGTAGGATCAATCCCTATATCTGAGGAAAGGGCTCCCCCACCCTGTCCTTTGAAGTTACTGCTTTCCTAGCCTTAAGCATAATTGTCATATAAAGTGGCACAGAGGCGACATAATTATTGTCCCAGCCCCCAAATGCTCAGATTAACAACAACAACAAAAACAACAGAAAACTGAATTGGATGATTAGAGAGTTCAACAAACAACATAAATGCTAACACTGAGATGCCCAGCCAGTGAATGACTGGTGAATAACGGTAATGCCTAATTGGCCATGTTCTGCACATGGAAGGCATCACAACAGCCTGTTCCTGAAGGGATGGGTACCAGGTGGAGCAGTGCAGTAAGGAGAGGGCTGCCTTTGAGAGAAAAAACAGCCAAGTCAATGATTTTGTTGGTTTCATAGAACGCTGCCAGATTGATGCTTTAGCTAGTGCTGGCTCCTCAGGACAGTGTTATCTTCAGGTTATAGCAGGTAACTGGCAGTCAGACCTCCTGGGATCTGTTCCTGGCTCTGTTACTGACTTGCTGTGTAACCTTATGCATGACACTTAATCTCTCTCTGTTTCAGTTTCCCCATTTGTAAAATAGATGCAACAATATTTACCTGCTTCACAAGGTTGTTGTGAAGCTTAATTAATTAATATCTGTAAAGGGCTTTGAGGCTTTCAGATGGAAGGTGCTATAGAAGTGAAAAGAAAATAGCTGCAAGAAATATAACAGCATTTTTGCTTACAAATATCCTGTCTCTTTGTTCAGTAAACTGTCACCCCTCCTCCATTGGAGAAATTAGGCACAATGACATTTTTTTCTACAAATTTTGGGGGATTAGCTCTGGCTCTTTTATAGTAGGCCACCTTTTGATACTATCGTTTTGCATTATATTGCTTCCTAGACCCACCAGCTGCTTATCTTGATTTCTGTACATTGTGGCATTATGAGGAATACTCTGCAGCAGACTACTAAAGAAACAAAATCTTTAAGCCCTGAATGGTACACAATGATGGCATCTAATGAACTAAACACTCAGGAGAAAAATCTGGGGGTCTTTGCAGACAGCTGAATGGAAACATTTCCTCTTTGACAATAGTTATTAAAGAAATCCAGCAAGAAGTTGCTTTGTATTAAGAAAGGAATAGAGACTAATAATGAAAATATGACATTATATAAATCGATGTTTTGCCCTCACCTGGACTACTTTATTCAGTTCTGGCCACCCAGCCTCAAACATGACATAGTAAGTATGGAGGGTTGAAAAACTGACAATGAAAATGATTTGAATAATAGGAAGGCTTCCTCATGTGGCAAGACTAATAAGATTCTTTGAAGAAAAGGAGCGTGACATGATTGAGGTGCATAAAATAATGAATGGTACAGAGAAGGTCACTCATATGATTCTATTTACCCTTCTGTATGGTAAGAGATCAGGAGTCACCCAATGAAATTAAAAAGCCACAACTTTAGCACTGCTAAAAAGAGTATTTTTTTTTAAAAAACAATGCATAATGGTCCTAAGGAACTCACTTCCACAAATATTATTGAGGGGAGGAGGTCAATGGGATTCAAAAGAGGATTAGTCAGGCATCTGACTACTAGGATATAAATGTGTAAGGGCTACAAATCCTCATGCTTCAGGTCATAAGTCAACCTCTACTAAGTCCCTGGGGTTAGGAAAAACATTCCCAGTGGGCATGTTAGTGAATAAACAAGTGCATGTGACATAGTAGACTTAATTATGCAGAGGCATTCAGGTTTTAAAGCAGATAGCAAATATATCAGAAGAACTTCCCTTTTTCATCATGCAAAGGGAATTGCCTGCACATTTTATACCACGTTCAGGAAGAAAGAAGACATCGTCCACTGATATGCAACAAACAAGTTGGATTCGCATTGCAAGAAGAGAAATGCTGTAACACAGTCAGCACAGGCCAGGACTTTCTGATGCCTTCCACACCACTGCATCCGTATTCTCTGCATTAGGTCCTACTGCATAATCTAGGGCGATTGGACATATTTGGAATGTTCACACGCCAATGCTAGGGCAACTCCAGTACTCTGAAAAAATTATCTACCTATGCAGAAGATCATGCTCTGTAGCATTTTGGAAAACAAAGCTAGCGATACCTAATATTTTGAC